AATCGTTATCATCGAGTATGTATACGTTCGTCATTTGCATATGTGTATTCCCGGCGTTTAAAAATGGGCAATGCAGCTCTATATTCTGATCTTTTTATTAATCTTGTAGGACGCGACTATATATAATATAATGGTGAGGGGTTCCTCCGATGATGATGATAATGATGATGATCGTAACGAAATAAATTGGATTCGGCGAACGGTTGTGTGTGGGAGAGAAAAGGGGGAAAGGGGTTCATGGATGGTTTCATAAAATATATTATTGTTGTTAATTATAATAATAATAATAATAATAATATGACGGAGTACTTAGTTATATATGTGTGCCATAATAATATACGCAGTAACCCAGGCAGTTGCAGGAGTCTTAGCTATATACCTATATATATTATAGAGCGCGTATATTTGAATCAAAAATATTTTCGTTTTGTTTGATACAATATATTATCATAGTATAATATGTTGTAATCGGGACTTGAACTTGAATTGCTATTATATTTAAATGTAACAAATATCAGAGTAGAAGTATCGTCTGTTTTTATTTATGTACAAGAGTATGCCGAATACCATCGCTACCAACGCCGTCGCAACCATTACAGCTATAATATGCTGTAAAGTATAAATACTATAATATTATACATGATCATCATGTACCGACCTAACGCAATGTGGATCGATATTGTCGTCGTAAACGACGCGTGTTGTTTCGTCACCGCGGTTGAGTGTTTATCGATGATCCGTCATCATCTGGCCATCCTCGACCGCCGCTTTTTTTTTTATACCTACATTGTTTTTTCGGCGAGAGAAAGTCGACGTCCAGTCTCGTGTGTGCGACGTGCTCGCTGCAGGATTGCTCGTTTCGAAAAGCACATATTATAGAATATAGGCACTCTTAAAAAAAAATTTAAAAAAATATCTTAGCCGCTGGCACTGATTGTTCACACACACACACACACACACACACACACACACACACACTCGCACTTATGTGTATAATACTGCTGTAATATTCACATACTCGAATGTATTGTAATATACCTATACATAGGTATGTGTAAATTGTTTAATATTGCGAAACAGCAGTGCGCTGCCGCTGCAGTGGGATGTTTATGCAGCCGGTTTACTGTAATATCATTTATTATTGTCACCGTTGTTGTTACGACCATACGACGAATTCAGACGTTTTTGTTTTTCTGAACGGTCATCGATTTTAACGCCGACACCCGACCGACCCTATCGCTTTTCTCTTTTATTTTTCCCCCCGTCAAAACGATGTGCGACGTCCGTCATCGTCGTTCTTCGCGCACATACGATTCGTCTTGTATAATTAAAATGGAAACCTCTGCCGTGTCCCGTCTGCAGTCTTGCGAACGTTGTCAATCGTAATAGTAATCTTCATATTGTCATCGCAGATGCAGTCTGTATGTACATCTGTGTATGAGCGGCTGATGACGACGAATAACTCGCGTATTATAATAATATGTGCAGCTCGACGGGACCGCGACGACGATTTTCTTTCATCTGTGCGTTTGCATTCAACTTTTTCTGATGCTGCTGCAAATGCGATGCACAACGTATAATTAACTTTCAACCGTAAGCGCGCAGCTTGTGGCCATTACTATTGGTGGGTTCGACAGCACCAGAACTTGTGCGACAAGACTTCTTCCCGAAATCGCGGTCTCGTACACAACGCAGAAAAACGTCGTTCATATACATAATGCTGCAGGCCACGTGGTCGTCGTTTCTTCTCGCGCCGATCTAACTTCGAATAACGCGGAAATCACCATAATATTATCGTTTATTTTTATAAATTATGAGGGTATATTCTATCATATAAAAGGAGATCGCTCAATAACGGCCCGAATCGATACATTTTTTCATTTTTTATATCTCGATTGTGACCCGTATATTGAGTATAAAGACAGAAAATACTGTTAACAGCGATTATTGAAACTAAAAACAAGTACTTCTGATTTTGTTTAATTCATACCATTATCAATTTTACCACATACGCACAAACTAACAATATACAGCTATACTATATAATATAGAATATTCGAACTGCTGAAATGGTGCCATTAATTCCAATAAATATAAAACAACAGATGAGACAGTGGATATTTTAACTAATATAGTGGGTGACAACAATTATTTGTAAAAATGTCGATGTTTAAAAATATTATTCAATTATTTCTTATGTTTGATTTTGTTGTTTATTTATATTTATATTATTTCGTTCGATCATTTGAATTTGGGAGTACAAATAATTATTGAAATTTTCTGTAATGGAAAACCCGTGTGACTGATCTTAGGTACTCATAGAATAAATACAGTATGCAAAAAGCAATTTATTCTATGCGACAATGTGACGTCATGTTTCATCTGGTCATCAGCCATTCTAATAAATATCTACAAATTATTTTCGATTTTATTTTAGTCCTGGCTCCTACAAACTAATTCTTATATTTATTTTAATATGTTGTTTTTTATACTTATATAATAATATGAATAAATACTGTATGTTATTGATTCTTTTTTTTTTTAACTAAAAAAGAATAAGTTTAACATATAAATTATTTGTACTTGTTTATGTATTGTGAGTTTTGATGGTATTGTTAGATATAAGTAAGGTTTTGTTTATTTAATTTTAAAAAGTATTTTTTAAGCGTATATGTTAATTTTTATTATGATGTGTAAATTTTTTTTTTTAATGTCGATAATTGCTAAAAATATCCACTGAGATGAGATGATCCACAAAGTTCCAAAGCTAGATCTTGTCCTACACTTGAAATACAATTATAATATTATCACAATAATACGTGTAAATTATTGGTTTGAAAATTTGAATCATTATTCACATGTAAATTAACGAAGATCAATACACTTATTCAATTTAATATTTATTGAATCAATAATAAATTCTTATTGTTATCATCTAGTACCTAAAATTCAATACCTATTTATTAATTGTTATTTTTATGGAAATAATTATGTGACTGCGTGCTTACGCATTTATTATATCATTTACTTTCAACTTTTAACTTTTATACATTAAAAAAAATCACCACACATGCGGCATGCCTACACTAGAATACCATGTAATCGGTGATACCAACATACAATACTTATATATTATTTTGTATCCTACAAGACTTAAGCCGGGTTTCCAATACACCGTGGTTTGTCGTGTTTCGTATGTAGTAAGACATGTTGGTAACATGTTACCGATACGTGTTAAATGTATTCAATTCTATACCACATGAAACCCAATTTTATGTCTAGACACTTACGATTAAGTGCTTAGTGCCTAGGTATAATCCTGACTTAGAGTTCTGCCAATAAACCACCTAGATGTCAGGAACGACTAATTTCATAAAATAGATTTAATTGCAAAATAATTAGTTACTACATTTTTATACTTAATTATTTTAGTTCTAGTGATTTTATAGTCACACCAGTAATTTATTGTTATATTTACCTATGAATATTTTGTTCATTTAAAATTGTGCCTTTGCGGTTCTATAAGAATAAAAGTCATCGTCTCTCCAGAATTTTGTTTCTAGTCATACCTTTATTTAACTTAACTTTTACTACCATATTAATTGGTGAGTTTATAGTGCACTTTATACTGTATTTATTTTACTTACACAATTGCAGTGACGTCAATAATATTATATATCGACTTAATTCTTGCGCACGCGCCACATCATCCGTTGTTTTTGTTATACACACTTGAACAAATGTTACATCGTGATTCGAAAAACTGACACAAGAAAATCGTGTAGTGTTCCTACGTAAACAGTTTTTCCCGGAAAAACTTTATGCGATGATGTAAAATGTTTAAATAATGTATATGCGGTGTAGATGACTTTCGTACGTCAAAACATTGCTGAATGTGTACCGCCCGCAGACTCGTTACCATACTTTTATACGTACTTAATATTGATTTAACCGGTTACGCCTCGTAGTTGCGTTCATGTAAAAATACAAAAAATGTAATAAACCGAAATATAATTATTATAATCGTGATCGTTCCAAAAAGAATTGAAAATCTAACGATAAAAATAAATATTGGCTTAGATTCTCACCACAGCAGATAGTACATACCTTGTCTTTTTCACCCTATATACAGTATAATATAATAAACGGATCACCAAGGTTACGTATGCGACGCCGTCCAGTTGCAGGGCTCGATGTAATAATAGTCACTAGAGTTTTCGTCATTGCTTCGTTTCGTCTCTATCAACGCGAGATTCATCGACAGATATATTTCTGTCGGAAACGCACTCGTGCACTCGTATGGTATAACGTGGTTATAATAATAATAATAATATGTCCTACATAGAAACATGTATACTATATATAAATATATATATATATATATATATATAGTTGGTCGTACATCATATACATTGCTTGTACTACTGGTACTGCAGTGTATACGCCAAGGTTTTGCGCTTAGCCGCGCCTCCTTGACATCGATATTTGCCTCGCTGTCGTCGGGGGACTTTCGCGAACGGTGTTACACCAACAGCAACAGCGGGTAGTCTTCTTTGCCATGTTATTTATAGAATGCACGGCGGCGCACAGCTTCTGCCGGCGTCACGTCGTATATATACAATTTAGTTTCATGTTTTCTGATCAGAAATACATATTGATAATTATTCATAAAACGACGCGTTCGAACGTCAGCCGTTAAATAATAACATATCCTGCAGTATATGATGTGTAGTGGCTGTCGGACATACGTGTGACTTTTATAACAATAATAACCACAACTCAAGCACTATTTTTACTCGTTAAGGTCGTATCCCACCACGAACTGTAGGTACACGTCGTAAAAGTCAGTGCGATTAAGTGGATAAATTTGTACGCGCATTGACTTCATAATATATAAATAGTACGATGACGTCCACAACGACTGTCAAGTTTTAATTTTAATACTTAAACGGATTCAATCAACATTGATACATTACGTTTTTTTCTTTTTTAATTTACAGATACTTTATAATGGCCAAAACGGCCTTGTCGGTTCCGTCAGCCGCTTCTTCGGATGATGTGCAACATCAAAAGCCCGGGCCGAAGCCAAAATATTCTCAGCAGCAGTCGTCTTCATCCGCGCCACCGTCGTCGTCGGCGACGGATTCAAAACTCCTACTGCCTCAGTGTAAGGTTAAGCGGAATTACGCATGCGCAAAGTGCCCGTATTATACCCAGAACCCACGCAGCTTTCTACACCACCAGAAAAACGTACACTCCGAACGACTCAAGGTGTACGAGTGTTCGCACTGTCTGTACGCGTCAAAACACAGTCAGAAGCTGCAGCGGCACGTGCAGATGGTGCACCAGATGGACAACAAAAGTGGCAAAAAGAACCCCGGATTCGATGACGACGGCAAGCAACTCCTGGTGCCGCCTGTCCGGATTCGGGTGCAACGTTTCGAAAAGTTTACGGACCAGCATCTTGCTAAGCTGGTGATTGTAGAGGACGTGGATGTCGAGGAGACTGAAGTGGTGACCGGTATTGAGGATGAATCTGGATCCGAAGAACACAATGCTGATGCCGAAGAAGAGAACGAACCTGAAGTCGACGCGGAAGTCGAAGCCGAAGCCGAAGTAGAAGCCGAAGTGGAAGTTGAAGCGAAAGCCGAAGCCGAAGTAGAAGCCGAAGTGGAAGTTGAAGCGGAAGCCGATGCCGATGTCGATGTTGAGGAAGACGAAGACTTGCTGGACGAAGAAGAGGCCGGCGGAGAAGAAGAACAAGAGGACGAAGAGGAAGTAGACGATCCGGACGACGAGGTGGACTTTAGCAACGATGGTTCGGTAGACGTGGATGACTGTGTGCCCGCAGTCTCGTTGTTGCAGACCACCTCACCAACACCGCAATCTTCGGCGCCGCCACCACCACCCCAACAACAGAAGAAGTCGTACAAACAGGACAAGTCTGTGACATTTATCCGGTGTTCCGTGTGTCCGTTCGGCAGCCACAGCCGGACACTGGTCAACAGACACGAGAAGTCGGCGCACCTGAAAAAGAAATTTTTCAGGTGCATGAAATGCAACTACGTAACTCACATGCGAGCTCGGTACACCAAACATGTCAAGTATCACACGATGCCGATGATCAAGTGCGACGACTGCGACTTCCGGACGCCGTACAAGTGGAACCTGGACCGGCACAACCGCAACCACAGCACCATAGCACCGGGTACGTACAAGTGCTCGCACTGTTCGTTCTCGGCCGACATCAAGCAGAGTCTCACGGTGCATGAGACAAATCACCACGTTCCCCCGGTAGGCGGTGTATTCCCCCCAAACGGCACCAACCGCCGCAGGTACCGGGTGGGCGCATCCGATGCTCCTGGTTCAGCAGTTGACGGCACCGAGGTACGTACACCTATAATTTAACGGCGAATTGCCATATTATTATGTATTGGGAAATGATTTAATATAATGATACCTATTAAACGTGATCTAAGATTAGACGAGTGTAGCTAGGATTTTAATCAGGGGAGTCATTTTTTTGCCTTTTCTCTGTAGTAAAATCGTTAACGATCTAAGAAATAGAATTTAGTTTAAAGCACAAGGGCGGAACTTGCCCCCCCATGCCCCACGCTACGCTCATAAACGTGGTACTGAAACAGCGAAAATGACCGTTACTTATTTATAAAATATTACGCGTCGGTAATATTTTTTTTCATTTTTTTTTTCGATTTGAAGCATGCGTCGATTTCCGCCAAAATATTCATAATATATTGGTACACCTTTATTTAATTTCATCGTCATAAATATTCAAATGTTCATTGTTTCTACTATATAGTTTGGTACTTATTATTAATAGTGATCTTTCGCTTATAGGATGTAATCAGACAATTGACTGTTAAATTATCGGCGGGGTTGTATTCTGTGGTGGTGGGAGTTACTATTGCCACCCTGAAATTTTCGATATAATTTTATCCTTTCCTTCCACTTCTAGATATGCCTACGGTATAGATCTTTAAATCTTTTAAAGCAGCGGTTCTCAAACTTTTTTTCGCGTACCACTTAAGTATATTATCAATCAGTCGCGTACCACTGATGATTAAAAATCCTACCACCATGCGGCCTTCCGCGTAAGTCTTTCGCGTACCACAGTTTGAGAACCGTTGTTATAAAGTAAAAAGAATAATGTATTATACATACATATATAATATTAAAAAAAAAAAAAAATGTTTTCCTTAAATGAATATTCAGAGTACATTTATTTAATATCTTTACCTATGTTAACGTTAATAATACGTTTCCGTAATATTATTTCATGAATTACGATTACAGAATTATAATTACATTTATTTATTTTTTAAGCTAGTTATTGCAATTTTTTTTTATGAACTCTTATTTACTAATTTAATATTAATCATTTAACGATAATATGGGTATCTACGATTTATTCCAAGCCATAAAATTAGTTTTAAGATTCATGTAAAAACAAATAATTAAATTATGGTTTCACTTTTGGCGAACAAATGATTTTTTCTTTGTAATTTTTTAACCAGTTATGACGTTGCAAGTAACGATATCGATCATTGCGATTTATATAGGCACGAAAATAACTAATAAATTAACGTGTTAGCATCGATTCGAAATTTACGTTAATGATCATCGTATGTAATATATGATCCTGAAATTCGCAATTTTTATTCAAAAAGATACTATAATTTAAAATATTTTTATTACGTATAGGATTTTCTAATAAATTATAACAAATTACAAACTTGTAGGTATGTTAATATAATATTAACTTACCTATATACAAGAATCATTAAAATATTACTCACGTGTAAATTTATTTTAAAGTACTCATGCGTTACATGTGTAAAATATATTAAATTATATTTCGTAAAATTTTTAAATATAAAATGTGGCTATAGTATGTTCATTGGTGCCTAATGAGATTTATAGATGAACAATTTATGCAATAGTTAATATAGTAAACTGTATAGTTACCATATGTAGGTACATTTTAATATTTTATAAATGGTCAACTCTGGTTTAAAGAATATCTTTGAAAAACAAAACTAATGTAATCTACCTTAAACTTCACGAACAAGGTTTTTAGCTAATAAATTCGGCTTATCATACACAAAAGTATTAGCTACAGTTAATTACTATTTATTAAAAACCTTAAAATCATTCTTTAATAATATAAATTAAAATAAAGATTGTCTAAGTTTATCGAAAAAGTATAATTGAATTAAGAATATAACTAAATAACTTGGAGGATTTTGTATGTTTCTTTTGATTATTAACAGAAGCGTAGCATGAATGTATAATATGTATTAACAGTTGTCAGCTCCGAAAAGTACCATTTATGTTGGTATAAGTAAAACTTTTTCTCAGTAAACATAATATTTGTTTATATCCTAAAATAAATTTCTCTATAGTACGCTCTTGCATATTCTTTTAATTTTATATTTGATCAGTTATATTTTAAATATTTATATATATTTTACTCTAATTTATTCATAATATTTCAGCTTTTTTTCTTAAGAGGATTAGATTAAGTTAGAGTCATTTCTATCTTATTAACGTATATAGCATAAAAAATTATTGCTAAGCAGTTTAAATTTTGAATATAAACTTTAATAATAGAGTGAATTGATAACTTATAAAGGTAGAACATAATCTGTGTTTAGTCGTGTTTTTTTTTTGCAATATTTGCTATATTTTAATTTTTAAACATGTTTCAATGTAAAATATTTCAATTTAAAAATTATTATAGCTAACTTTTAAATATAAATATGGTAAAAAAAAAAAAAAAAACAATATAATAAAATACAAATAATGTTCTATATGTTTAAATAGGTAATTATCACTGTATAATATTAAAATGTATTATACACAAAAGTAATAGTTGAACACAAATTCGCTATGATGTATGTTTTGTAAGATGCAGACAACAAATACGGATGTTATTTTAAGATACTTTTGACTATCACTATTTATTAGTTGTAATGCGACTTCAGTTTTGGGATTAACTAAACGTATAGAATATTTGCCGTTGTTCACGTAATTATATAAATGTTAAATTGTATTATTATATATACTTGATTAACCTTATGACACTACCTATTGATCTCACAACCCCAATAATAACTATTATGCCATTAAAGGCCGATGATAAGATTAAAATTGGCAGGTCGCATATAATACCAAATGTGGGAGTGCACTATAGATTATGCTTTAGGTACTCAATGCCATTATTATTTTGATTTGTGAAGGACATTGTTTAACTATAAGTATTTACGTGTGTATATTATATCTTGTATGCATATTGTATAATATATTATATATTTTACTAGTATATACTATCGTGGTACGTTTAATAAACGCCTATAGGTGATTTTCAGTATAAGAATTTTATCGGGAATTTAGAAGAGTGAATGAATATAACCTTAAAAATATCAAGTACCTATGTGTCAAGCGTGGGTATAAAGTATATTACGTATATATATTCTACAACAGTTAATGTTCGCTATTCGTATTTTATAAGAGTATATTATCATATATTATTGTCTAGGTACCTGGGTACCTATTATACATTATACATTTCATTACCCTAGGGCCTAGGGTATACATATAAGAAAATTTACTATTTTTAATATTCATCAGTTAAATTCTAGACGTACCTATAGTATTTTTATTATTGATTATTTGTACCGATTAATAGGTTTCTTTATTGTGCACGTTTGACATTCGGTCATCATTGGCGTCGGCGTTCAGTCACTAAATTTGCATGTTGTGCGCATTTAACATCGTCATTTGGTGTCGTGTTCGACTGCCGTCGTATGTTTCTCATTTTACAAATGTATATACTACTGCACCATCGAAAAAATTCCTTCCTATTGCTTATATTATGTATCACGGTTGAACATACGTCATCGCCATGCAGTCATCTTATTATTTTTTCACACTACCATTCCACAGATCTCACAGTTATGTCTAGCACATGCTATTGGTGGTAGTATAGGTAGTATAGATGATATAAAGTTTAAAATATAATTTTCAATTTATATGAAAAAAAAAAATGTTATCTCAAATAACTTCCTCATATTATTTAATGAAGTAAAAAGAAATCTAATGTCGGTATTATAGATATAAACTTATAACCAGTCGGTTTCTTCTATTTTGTTACTTTTTCCTGTTAAAGAAACTTTATTGTAACTTAAACAATTTCGTGAATACTGATGTTTGAATAAGCTTCGAAAACTAATAATAAATTATGCCTGCAGTTGTAGACCATGTCAAATAAATAATAATAAACACATTTTTATGCAACGTAAATAAACATTAACATTATATTTTTTTTAATAATCATTTTTTTTTATGTATCGTATATATTGACGGGAACTGAGACACAATTACTAGAGGTCCAGCATACCCAATGTCATACGTAATTTATAGTATAATTTATGATACTGGGAGACCGGTCATCTGTCTTGTCCAGAAACTATTGTTATATGAAGCCTTTTGATTGAGTGTGTGCTATTTATAAGAGCTTTTTTATGCATTTTATTTTGAGTTACTTATTTATTCGATTTTGTTTTTGTAGATGCCTATATTAGTGGTGTTTTAGATTATTAATATTATAATTTATAGCTAATATAGATTCAAGTTTTATTGAATATATATATATTATAGCATCACTTTTAACTTATATAAGAACAACTCCAAGAGCCTATAAACCTTAACATTACATTTCAATTATTGAAATATTCACCATGATCTTTTTTTATAACATTTCCTTGCAACATTGAACACAAAAATACAATTTCAATCAAAATCAGAAGTATTTGATATTAAAACAATATGATATTATGTACTTATAGTCAGTCTATAGCTCGTCGTAGTTATATATTTTATAGATAGCCCGGATATGATGTACCTATATGCGTTTTCAGTTGGTTGATACTATATAGGTAATATAGACATTCCCCAGCCATCCTCTTCGAAGCTTTGCTGTAGTGGCCCCGTAGTGCCAAAGACTGTCGGTATTGAAGAGTCGCGGTTCGGCGACGGGGCGGCGCGTTTTATTATATAGTATTGTTGTGTATATACGGCTCAATAAAATTTAGATTATATTTCGCCGCCTCAACGGAGCGGAAACTACCGTTTATACACAGCGGACTTGTGTCATATAAATATAGGTATATATATTTTATATAGCCGGCGTGGCGAAAAGAAACACAAAACTATATGCCCGTATAATAAAAATAATGATAGCAATAAAAATCCTCTCTTGTTAGTTTCTATCAATTTTGGACGGCGATGAACGATGGAATTGGTTGAAGGATGAATATTTTACATAGCGTCACTATCATTAGGGAAACTTTGGATCAGGACAATGC